CACCCTGATTCATGGAGAGAGGCCTGATAGAGATGGAGCCAGATTGGGGTGGGGCATCCTGGGTCATGGGAGCCAGGACAGAGGCTGGGCAGAAGAATGGACATCTGGGCCTTTCTGAGAGATGTCTTCTGGCCACTGGCCTCTGTCTCTAGCTGACGCATAAACCTCCCTCGAAAGGAAGAGCTCTGGGAGTGGAGCAGAGGCCCAGAAGTGTCGAGGGCTTGGCCTGAATCACACAGCAGCCTGTTTGTCCAGGAATCCAAGCCTTTCTGGGAGAAAGGTTACATGATCTGTAATAATAGTAACAACAATAGCAATAGCAGCAATAATAGCAAAAGCTATTGTCCTCGTTTTACAAATATAAAAACAGCCTATGGTCACACAGCTAATAAGTCAGAAGAGCCAGAATTTGAACCCAAGTCGCCAGATACTCATTTTTCCCAGCATTACCTGTCACTGTGTATCAGTGTGAGTGAGCTTCCCATCACAGTGGGTACACAGATCAGGGCCTGGAAAAGCCAGCCAGGAAGGCTCTGCACTGGGGCAGGGTGTTAGAGAGAGCATCTAAAATCCCTGCTACCTAGGGACTCTGTTATCCCCTAGAAGCACCAGAGAGCAAGCTTCCTGTCTGGAGGGAGCAGGAGGCAACAGGCCCCAGCCACCCTCCCTCCCCAGCTCCACTGTGTAGGGAGAGGAGCGAGGTCAGCCACACACCCTCGCCCTTGCTCTGGCCACTCTGCAGCTTGTCCTGTGTCCTGCAAGTCCCCCAGTCCTGCTCCCTCCTTCCCCAAATGAACACAGCTGACTGACCCCACTGGAGCCAGGCCCAAGTTTCTATCAGAGCCACATGTCTGTTCTCTGGGAGCCACTCCCCAGGAAGATGTTTGAAGTCACAGCTGGGGCTTGGTGGGGAGGGGCCCATTTCGGACAGAAAATCTGGCCAATCGCAGCTCTTGTGAAACAGGGATGGATGATGGAGAGGGAATGGATTGGTGCCAAGCACATCCTATGTACACAACGCTGCCTGTCAGGCGCTGACCTGTGTGAGGTGCTGATGAAGGGAGGCAATCCCCATGGCCATCTGATGAGGCCAGTTCTGCTGCTGACCCATTTTACAGAGGCTCACAGAGGAGAAGTCAGGATTCAGGACTAGGTCTGCTGAGCTCTAAGCCCCATTCATAGAAGCAGAATTCAGTGTCAGCACCTGAATCTCAGGATCCTCCCAACTCCCTCAAAGTGGATGTGTGGAAGGAGAGTGGAGTCTCCCCATTGTCTTCTCCAACACCCTGCCCTAGCAGGCAGCCTTCCTGGCAGTCTCCTACAGGCCCAGGCCTGCACACCTCCTGTGATGGGGAGCTCACTCCCACACTGATAAAGTGACTGGTAGTGGTGAATAAAAGAGGGCATCCGGCTGACTTGAGTTCAAATTCTGGCTCTTTACAACCTCCTAACATCACCCACTAAGCCTTAGTGAGGTTAAGACACTGGTCTGAGGTCCTAGAGCTGATAATTGGGAAGACTGAGATTTGCCCCTATACCCGTCTGACTCCAGAGTCTCCACTCTTTCAACTGGGGCCTGCAGACCCAGACTCTACCAAGAGCAGCGATTCTACCAAGAGCAGAGGGTCTGGGGTCCCATCCTGCCTCTGGCCTCAATCCCTTAGTGCTCATGTCTCCCAGGGCAGGACGGTGGAAGACTAGTGTGGGAGTGTGTGCAGCAGGGCCCATCTGCACACGGGCAGGGAAGTAGGCAGGCCCCTGCAGACCTCCAAGTCCATTCTCCATGGCACATGTGGGAAAACGGACCCAGAGAGCAGCAAGGCCTTGCTAAGGTCACAGAGCCAGCCAGGAGTTGCAGGGCCTGGGGGATGAGGGCTGCCCAGAATTGGGCTTTTTAGCAGCACAGTGGGTGCCTCACCAGGTCCGCCACCACCCTCAGTTACCCCATCTGTGAAGTGGCCAGCAGTGGTCTGGTGGGCAGGGGACCCAGGGGGCAGATCCCAAAGGTATTTTGTTTCGTTTTAATATAATCTATTTTTTATAAAAATGTTCCTCGGAAGAGAGGCTTCAGACAAGATGAAAACTCAGGTTAAAAATACAAAATATGCCAGGATTTGCCAATTCAGTATTATTTGCTCTTAGGTAATTTAATTACTATATTTCACACATAAGACAGGTGGTGCTTTACCTACATTAGAATTATATAAACCTTTAGATATACACTTAAATTGTTTTGCTTTGAATCAGATCCCACAGGTTTTGCATTCCTGCCAAACCCAACAGGGGGCGGGGCTTGTGTTCCTGAAGCTCCCCTCCCAGCCAGACTTTGATGTGGTTGGGAGCCTGGGTTTCCTCAAGCAGGAGATACATTCTTCCAGCCACGGCTGAGCAGGGGAGCTGGAAATGGC